GGGATGGAGGGACGCGGGATGGGGGAGGCGGGATGGAGGGATGCGGGATGGGGGATGCGGGATGGAGGGATGCGGGATGGAGGGATGGGGGATGGAGGGATGCGGGATGGAGGGATGGAGGGATGTGGGATGTAGGATGGAGGGATGCGGGATGGAGGGATGCGGGATGGAGGGATGCGGGATGGGGGATGCGGGATGGAGGGATGGGGGACGGGGGATGCAGGATGGAGGGATGGGGGGTGGGGATGGGGGATGCGGGATGGAGGGATGGGGGACGGGGGATGCAGGATGGAGGGATGGGGGATGTGGGATGCGGGATGGAGGGATGTGGGCTGCGGGATGGGAGGGATGCAGGATGGGGGATGCGGGATGGAGGATGCGGGATGGAAGGATGCGGGATGGAAGGATGCGGGATGGAGGGATGGGGGACACGGGATGGGGGATGCGGGGTGCCGAGCCCTGGCACAGCTTGGTGCCAGCCCTGCCCATCCCACGCCCTTTGCCGGGGACGGAGGGGGGGCTCTGCCTTCCCGGGGGCCCGGATCCCTCCACCGCCATCTCCCCTCCGGGCGCTGTCCCCGGGCGCCTCCCGCGGTAGCGGCCGGCACACGCTGCTCTTTCATAATGAAATAATTTATTTTCTAACAGTTGAACAATACAGAAGTATCCATATACACAGCAAAGGTCTTCTAAAACACGTAGTTTCTAAAAATGCGTGTGCTAACTGTAATAAAAAGCACCATTGATGGCCGTGACACAGGGCTCCGAATGGCGCCGTGGTATTTACAGCAGGAACCGAACGGCTGGAACCAGGACGCGGATTCGCCCTTCTGCTGCTCCCCGGCCCTCGACTGCCCAAAACAAAGCCGATGCCGGAGTGGGTTCACTTCTCGGGAAGCAAAAAGAAGAAATGGGGGGTCGGCTCGCCGCGGCAGAGCGAGGCCGTGACGCTTCCCGGGGAGCAGGCGCGGAGCTCGGCTACGGCAGCCTTCCCCCGGCACGGCGCCGCGTCCGGGCCCGAAACCCGCGGCGAAGGACGGCAGGGGGTGCCCGGGCCGGGTGGTACGGGGGGGACACATCGGGGAGTGAGGCGCCGGGGGGGCGAGCGGCTCCGGAGGGTTCCGGATAGAGCCCCGTTCCCGGCAGCTTCCCGTTCTCCATCTGGATGTGGGTCGTGCCTCTCGCCGCCGGGGAGGGCGGTTGGGGATTTGCCTTCCCCAAGGAAAAAGAAAAAAAAAACCAACCCAAAGCAGCATTTGTGACTCACGCCCGTCTGTGCAACGATCCGTTGTAAACGCGGGGTGCGCGAGCGGCTCCTCGCACCCCCTTTTTTTAATCACAATCTACAAAAATGTCCTTCCTGCAGCTTATTTCTTAGGAATGCTGGTGGATCAGTGAATTCCAGGAAAAGGCTGGCACAGCCGCCGGGCGCCTCGGCCGACGAAGGGGGACCCGGAGAGACCGAAAGCCGCCGGAGATGGTCCCGGCCGCTCGCCAGGAACCAGCTGCTGGATTTCCAGCCTCGTTCCAGGTTAGTGCATCGTTTCGGAGGGTTCCCGTTTCTCTTCGCCCTCAGGCTGGAGAGGAGCACATCCCAACAGTGCAAAGGTCCGACAATTATTCGTTTGGGACAGAAAGTAAAAAGGGGGGGGGAAGCAACCCCCACGCGGCATTTCACCAACACAAGTAACTCAAAAAGGCACAACACTGAAAAAAAGAATAATCTACGTCGAGTGGAAACCTTAAGACTCGCTCTATCTAAATGACAACCAAAAATCAAGCGTT